TAAGGATTGGAAATCAAAGGGATGCCTATCAATTGGGGAATGGCTAAACAAGCTGTGGTATAAATTTTAATGGAGTATTATTGTGCTATAAAAAATGACAAGCAAGATGATTTCAGAAAAACCTGGAAAGACTTACATGAACTGATGCATGGTGAAATGAACAGAACCAGGAGAACGTTGAACATATTGATAGCAGTATTGTTTGATGAACTAAGAATGACTTGCTATTCTCAGCAACACAATGATCCAGTTCAATCCCACAGGACCAATGATGAAGCATACTGTTGGCCTCCAGAGAAAGAACTGATATGATTTGAATTCAGTCTAAAACACGCTATTTTCATTTTCTTTCTTTTTTTCTTTCATTCAAATCTTCTTATATAAAATGACTAATATGGAAATGGATTACATAATTGCATAAAACTAATATCTGATTGCTTACCATCTCAGGGAGGGGGAAGCACACAGAGGGAGGGAAGGATAGAATTTGGAACTCAAAACTTTAAATAAAAATGTTTAAAAATTGGAAAAAAAAATTACCCATTCTCATCCATTTAAGTTCACTGACATCCAAGATATTGATGTTTAATCTTTCTATCTCTTGTTTGACCATATCCAGCTTACTGTGGTTCATAGATCTTACATTTAAGGTTCCTGTGCAATATTGATCTTTATAGCATCTGCCTTTTTTTTATCACCAGATGCATCTGCAGCTGAGCATCCTTTTGGCTTTGGCCTAGCTACTTCATTCTTTCTGGAGCTACTTGTGATTGTCCTCCATGTTTTCCCAGTAGTGTGTTGGACACTTCCAACCTGATGGGCTTATCTTCTGATCTTCTATCATTTTAATTCTGTCTGTGGGGTTTTCTTGATAAAGATACTGGAGTGTTTTGCCATTTCCTTGTCCAGCAGATCACCTTTTGTCAGAGCTCTCCACTATGATCTGTCCATCTTGGGTAACTGCACAGCATAGCTCACAGTTTCATTGAGCTATGCAAGCCCCTCTGGCATGACAAGGCAGTGATCTAAGAGGGGTTATATTGGATATACTAAATATCAAAGTGTACTTTGACTTAGTTTTGAGAGGCTTGTCCAATTCTTTGCAGAATTTATCTGCCTTTTTATCCTCTAAGATAGATGCTAGCAGTTAAATTACTATTTTCTTTATGGTGATCTTAAATGAGTGAAGGAAAACATACTTTATTATGTGCTTACAATGTGTCAAGATACAATGTGGGGATAGAAATAAAAAAGTGAGTTTGTCCCTGCTCTCAAGTTATTTTTTAATTGGAAGAGACAGCACATGTAGGAGGGTTCAGAGGATTAGAGACAAGTGTAAGAAGTCTGGAGTGAATAGTGTTAGGGCAGATGGTAAGGCCCAGTAGCTGGAGGATGTAGTAGAAAGGCAAATGTAAAGCCTTATAGTCCTCCATCTTACTGGAAGGATTGTAGTTGGTGGCTCCTTGCTTATCCAAGCACTATGAGCAGCATTGCCCATCCTTCAGTGTCAGATGTGAATGGGTAGAGATCAGGAGGTACGTGACCCATGCCCAGTGGGAAGAGTGGAGGGGGAGGAGTAGACACGAAAGTTGTAGGTTAGCAGGAATTGTGGGTTCCCTCTCATAGTGGTAAGATTGAAGGATCAGGATTCCTCTGTCCTCCTACCTAGGAGGGGAAAAGGGAAAAGGAAGCATTGCCAAGAAGATTTGTGGGAAGGGCTCCCCATAACATTTATCATTTCTGTGTTTTCTGGCACCCACTGAGAACTGAAGAGTGGGTGGGGGAGAGGAAGGCTTCCCTATGGCATCTTCTTACTTATGCTTATCATGAGTACTTCAAGACAAGATGACCAAGAGGCATTTCATGACATGATTTTTATTATTGCCTTTGGGTTCACAATGAAACCAATTCTGCCAATGTTATCATTGGTTTTTCCTATTTAGCTGCACTTTCTTTTGGTTTCTGGTTTCTGTTTTCATAAGAATGTTAATAGTAATATGGTTTAGTTCTAATAGTATGTTACTTGGACAAAGGTCTCATATTTAGAATACCAAGAATTACGTTAATATTTATTTACGTTCTTAAATTACTCGCTGCTTCACCATTTTCACTCTGAACCCAAAACAGGGTAACAACTCTGATGCCTGGTTTAAAATTTTTCTTTGTTTTAGTAGGTGAAGTTTTTAGCAGCAAAATTCTTATCCATTCTTTCCTAATCCTAATCAGTTCTATAGATGTTAGAATTTCTTTCAGCAAAATTCAAGTGCCATGAAAATATTTGGAGCAGCACTTTTTGTAGTGGTAAAGAACTGGAAGCAAAGTAGATGCCTGTCCCTTGGGGAGTGATTAGACATGAATTTACTGGACTCTTACCACTCCATAAAAGTAATGAACATGAAGAATAAAGAAGAAACATGAGAAGACTTAAGTGAACTGATGTAAAATGAAGTAATCAAAAACCAAGAAAAAATATACACGAGTACATCTATGTAAATGAAAAGAGAAAAGGAGAGAAAAGTAACACTGTGTAATTATAATGACTGAGTCTGACCCCCAAGTTGAGATGAGAAAAGCAGCTTCCTTGTTTGTAGTAGTGTTGGCCGATGGATGTGGAATATTATGTCTACTGCCAGACTTGGTTGAAATGCCTGTTAGTTTTGCTGAATTGCCTTCCCGTCTCCCTCCCTTTTTTATTTTTTGTTATAAGGGATGCCTGTCTAAGAATGGGATAAAAGTAGACACATTTGGAAATGAATGTGATGTAAAAAAAAAAAGACATCAATACATTTTTTAAACTCTCAATTGAAGTCCTGTTAGAGAAATTACCCAGTCAGTACCTTAATGGTGAAAAGTCCTTCTAGTAATCATGAAGACCTGGGTTTGAATCCTTCCTCTAAAGCTTAATATCTTTGTGACCGTGGACAGGTCATTTCATTTCTCTGAGGCTGTCATTATAAAATAAGAGTAAGAATGCCTATGTCAGAATAGAGAAGCAGCATGCAGTAATAGGGAGAGAGCTGGCCTTGAAACTTTGAAGACTTGGGTTCAAATCTTGCCTTTGTCATATATTGGCTCTATGACCCTGGCATTATTCTTCAAATGTGTCAAACTCGAGTTCCACAAAACTCCCAAGTGCAGCCAAAACTAGATTAAAATGTAATTGAGAAATGTCTAAGAAAATAAGTAAAAATATAATAAAACATAATGTTTGTTTGTCGTTTTCTAAGTCAATATGCTGCTGCAGGGATCTATTTCTATTTGAGTGAGACACCACCGCTAGACAACTCTCTAAGACTAAGCCACATAAATGATGCCAACTGGCATTGGTTGAGTTTCCTATTTCAGTGAAATCACAGGTCTGGCCCCTTTACCAGGGCCTATCCCTAATAACAACTGCAATATTTACCTCACAGGGCTCCTGTTATGCTCAAATGAGATGATTATTGTAAAGTACTTTGTGACCTTTAAGCAATTTCATAAATGTCAGTTTTTATTGATGGACTGTTGATTTGGCATTATTTTGGTATTATTGGGTATTATTTCCTGTGAAGCCAACTGTAAAAAACAGTATTTCATGCAGCAAACAGTTCTTGTGAGCTGGCTAGACAAGACAGGTATTTGGATTGGAAGAAATGTTAGAACCACAGATTTAGAATATTTGGATGTACTAGGTTTGGATGTATTTGGATGAAGTTTATACTTGCTTTATCTGTTCTGCTCCTAACCTCTCTAAAAAGAAGGTAGCAAAACTGATTAACCATGTAGTTTAAGAAATTATTTAACCACAGAACAGTAAAAACCAACAAACAGGAAAACCACTTGTGGCAGCATTTGCAGATGTAGATGTACATTACAAATGATTCTTTTCTATTCTGTTAAGCTAATAAGATTCTATACTATAAGTAGCTAAGTGTAGTGAAACTGTATTTCCTCAAAAAAAATTTTTTTTTGTTTTTTTGTAGCTCAGGCTGAGATCCGCCAACCTTCTCTAGGTTATGGAGTTTTACCGTTGCTGCTGTTCCCTTGCCAAGAATGTTCTTTCTCCTCTTTTCTATGTATCAGACTTCTGAGCTTCCTTTAAGTCTTAGTTAAGGTGTCAACTCCTGTAGGAGACTCTTCTTGATCTCCTTGGTTGTTAAGGCTCTCTCCCTCCTCAAATTTCTTTGTATTTGTTTATTTATATTCTGTACCTTTCATCCCCCCAATACAATGTAAGAAGCTTCTTGAGGGCAGGGCCGTTTTTGTTTGTTTCAGATCTTTTCCATTCTTCACCAGGTTATTGTCTGTAAAATAAGTGCATTGGGTTAGATAGCCTCTGAGGTTCCTTCTACCTCTAGATCAATGATCTTAAGTTTTGGATCTGGCTGTACACAAATGTCTGACCCTGAAATGACTCCCATGTCAGTGACCAGTCATTTCCTATCTGTTAAAATGTAATCAGTTGAATTTATTGCTGTAGTTAATGCTTGCCATGTCTATAATCCTTTCAGCTCTCTTCTCAAAGAAAGTATTCATAATGTATAGGTGTGAGGCTTCTGTATAGTTTACAGGGCTTTGGTCACTGGGTCACTCTAGTTATTTACCGGAACCAGAAATGGAAGGTGGGCCGTCACAGGAATGAGGTCTGATGTTTTTGTTTCATGTGTTGCCACGGCCAAAGAATTCATCTTCAATGGCTAGCCTACTAGTGATGAGCTTCTTTGTATTTTACTAGGCAGGTACTGGCAAAGCAGATAAAGTCCTTTGCTGAGACTGTATTTGGAGCCTTTCTGGCATGCTGTCAGTCTGCGTGTCACTGACATAGCCTTCAAGAACACAGGGTTGCCTCCACACCACATTGAATCCTCCTCATAAGACTTTAATGCCACTTTGTGGATCAGTAACTTGAGGCCTAGACTAAGGAATTAGTGCAGAGTAAGTTTGTAGTAGAGATGGAAATCCTTTCTTCTAAAAAAAAAATATCTCTGCTAAAAACTTTTTTTTCTTTTGTGAAAAAACAGAAGAGTCTCAGCCTGATCCTGTAGATGTCCTGAGTCAGCAAAAATGCCTAGAGTCATTGGCTGCCCTTCGCCACGCCAAATGGTTCCAGGTAAGGTGCTTTCCAAGTAGTTGGGAACATTGCATAGGCTAATTTGCAAATTGTTATTTCTGCTTGAAGGAAGAGAGAAAAGGGAGAGAGGTGATAGTCCTGCTATATAGTTGGCTAGGAAAGACCCCTTCCTGAGTATTATATTTCATCAAATACTGGAGTTATTATTTGGAAGAGTGATTAGACTTGTTTGCCTGGGCCTGCAAAATAAGGATTATTGAGATGAAATTACATGAAAGCACATTTTGGTTCATTGTGTTAATGTCACCATAACAAAGCTAGCTAGATATTTTCTCTAAAAGTACAATGAACTCCCATTGGGAGTCATGAATTCCCTGTCACTGGAACTCTTTGTAAGGGCTGTTATAGAGGTTATTCCAGCTCAGTTGTGGATTAGGCTTGTTTGGACCTGTTTGACCTTCAACAAATCACTTACCTTCTCTGAGTCTCAGTTTCTTCATTTGTAAAAGGAAGGGTTTGGACTCAAAGACTTCCAATATCCCTTTCGTCACTGAATTCTTTGTCATCATTGTTGTTGGCAGCTAGGTGGTCCACTAGGAATGCTAGTGTTCCTTTCATCTCTGAAATTCTATAGCAGCATGATTATTAGGAACTTCAGAAATACCCATTTTTAACACTATGCATTAATTTAGATTTATTGTATGGTCTTGCGCATTGAAAAATGAGTCATTTCTATAAAAGCACCATCAGAGATCTCCTTTTTAGGAATGCAATGTGGTATTATGGTAAGAATACCTGACAAGGAATCCGGAAAGCTGGGTTTGAGCCCTGGTCTCTCTTTTTACTAGCCTTGTGACCTAGAGCAAGTCACTTAACCTCTGTAGGGCTCAGTTTTTTTACCTATAAAGTGAGGTGGTTGGATTAGAACTTTTAAAGTCCCTTTGAGATCTGACAGGCAATGAATTATTAAACAAATCACTTATTGTCGCATAGCCTTGGTTTCCTCATCTACAAAACAGGTTGTGGTGAGGGTTGTGTGGTATTTGTGTAAGTGCTTTGTACAACGGAAAGACCAACTATAATTTATTTCATCAGTCAATCAACAAACATTCATTAAGCTTTGTGCCAGGTATTATGCAGTATGAGAGTGAATTGAAAGCTAGTCTTGAAGTCAGGAAGACCATAGGGGTTGGGGGCAGGGCAGGCTTCAAGTTCCACCTCTAAAACAGCTTAGTTTAGGGGCTAGAGTGTTGGCCTTGGAGTCAGGAAGTGTGAATCCTCCCTCTGACACTACCTCTGTGACTCTGGACAAGACACTTAGCCTCTCAGCCTCAATCTCCTTATTTGTAAAATGAGGATAATAATAGCAACTCACAGGGTTGTTCTGAGAATAAAATGAGATAATACCTATGAAGTATTTTGCAAAGTTTAAAGTGCTACATAAATATGAGTGATGATGATAATGATTGTGTCCTTTGACAGTCACTTTAATGACCTGTCTCTGACCCAAGAAACTCTCTAAAACTGTAAGTTGCAAAGCAGGTGCTGATTTGCCCTGGTAAAGGAAGTTTTCTTGATGAGAGTTCAGTACATCAGGTCTTGTCCAGAAGTTTTGGGCAATCAGTCCTTTCTCTGCTCTAACAGATGTTCAGGGCTGCTTATCAGAGGCTCTTTTTTCATTCATGTTAATATTTAACAAATGGGAAGTTTCTTTAAGATCATTTAGAGTAATTTTTCCTTTGTGGGCACGTTTTCTATGAACACTGTTGTTTCTTTCCCCACAGGCCAGAGCTAATGGTCTGCAGTCATGTGTGATTGTTATCAGAGTTCTTCGAGATCTGTGTCAGCGTGTGCCAACATGGGGGGCCCTACCAGACTGGGTAAGGAAATTAAGATGCTGAACTTCATTTTGAAATCCATTGTCATTCTGAAAATAATTTATTCTGGTGACCAGGACTTTCTAATATCAGCACAAAAGTCTTGATTTCTATTGGAAGAAAATTTTTCTTCTTCTAGCATCCCTGTTTAGGTAAGAAGAAAAATATCCAACATGTAGAAGAATTCAATTATATTAGGAAGTTTTCAGTATTCCCTTGGGAGAACTCTACAGTAGCCATCTTTGAACTGTCTAATTTTGCATCCAAACTTCTAACTAAACAAATACATACATTTACAAAAGTTTGGTGAAAAACTTTAGTGTTAGGTACCTAAGATAGGCCAGTAGGAGTCAGGCCAGAGAGGCATGGCACGTACCACCCCTTGTGCCCTTCAGTTTTTTTCAGATGTCCCAACCCTGCTGATAGAAAAAGAGATTCTCATAAATCCAAGTGTGAACAAGAAGAAAAAATGAGAGCAAAGAATGAGGTAGAAGCAGAGCCACGGTAGAAAGAACACTAGGCTAAGGAATTTCTAAGTGATGTGACTATAGGCAAATCACTTAGATTCTCTGAACCCCAGTTTCATCATCTGTAAAATGAGGTTAATAATTCTTATACTACTTGCCTCCTAGGAAAGGGTTGTTAGAAAGTGTTTTGTGAATTATAATGCACTCTATAAATATGTACTACTACTTGTAGTAGTCATAATATGAGAGGCTCTCATATTATGAACTCGAGAAGGATAGAGTGAGGTCTTCTTAGTCTTTCTCCATGTTCTTGGGCTCCACCCTTCCTCCCTCGGTTTTACCCATTTCAGTAATAGCCAGCACTCAGGTCTTCAGGGACAATTAGCAAAGCACTGTTGAGGGATCTTCTGTATGTAGATTCAGTTATATTATTGTCTCTCTGTTTCTTACTTTTTACTTTAAGTAGATCTTACTGTGTCTTTGTCATTTTCTTTGTAGTTTTTTATTGTTCTCTCTGTTTATCTCTAGGGTGTTTTTTTAAATGTGCCTGTGTCTGCCTCAGTATTTCTGTACCTCTCTGTTGCTATCTAGGATGTGATCAATTTTTAATAGTTTTTATGTTTTATGGCCTTCTTATATTTTGTTTTAATATTTCATGGACTTCTGTGTTGGTTTTATAGTGTAATAACAAAAGATAGCCCCAATTAGTGATTTTTAATTTTTCTTGGAGTTAAGGTATTTTGAATTCAGTAGGAAAATAAGTAATTTCCTTTTGATTTGCTTAAAAAATAGTTTGTTTAAACTGTTAATGATATAATAATTTATTTTTTTCCATCAGGAGTGCTTAACTTGGGGGTCCATGATGGGGAGGGGAGGCAAGGTGCTTCTTGAACTTGGAACTTTTATTTTTTGATAATTATATTTCAATATAGTTAATTTCCTTTGTAATCATATATATTGTGTATATTTAAAAATGTTATTCTGAAAAGGAGTCCATTGGCTTCACCAGAGTGCCCAAAGGGCACACAGAAAGTTAAGAACCTTTGATTTATATGTTTTACCCAAGAGGCAGCATGGCGTAACAGATTGAAAGTTGCTGTCTCTGAGGACAGAAAGACCTGGATTTTAAGTCCAGCCTCTTACGCATACTGACTGTGTAAGTCACTCACCTTCTTAGTACCTCTTAGGAGGAAACTCTAAATTTCTAAGTGGCAGAGGTGTTGACCTGCATTGGTAAAAGACATTTCTTCTCCAGGAAGAGACCGTTTCCTTCCTCCAGGGAAATCAGAGGTCTAGTAGCTCTCCTCTCTTTACAATTTACAAAGCTCTTTGCATATGTTGGACAGTGTCAGTAGATTTTCACAACAACCCTGTGAGGTTGGGAGCACCAGTGTCATCATACCCATTTTGTGAGTGAGGAAACTGAAGCTCAGAGAAGGAAAATGCCTGAAATCACAGCTGTGATACAGCCTCATTTTCCAGTTTTGGATCCAGTGCTTTTGTCCCTTAGTCACAACTGCATCTCTTATTCATGAGGATTTCCTCAGAAGCCAGGGCTGTCTCTGAATAATCTCATGGCCACAAGATATGGCTATTTACTATATGACACATGCAGCCGTAGTTCTGACTGCTTCTGGCCACTGCTTAAAGGAAAGTGGTCACTGAGAATTTCGTTGGTAGCTCTCTACAAAGACACAGGTCTGAAATCCCATGGCCATTATGTACTGTCAGTAGGACCTGCAAAGAACCCTCTTAGACTTTGTAAATAGTGTTGTTAAATTCCTGGGTTTACTGATAATTACTTTTTTTTTTGTGCAAGTCATGCTGTCTGGGAAGTATTCAAAGTGAAACGAAGCAGAGAAGTCCAGGGTCCAAGGCTGTGACAAAATACCTCTAATTAATGAAAGGGTTTGTGTGTTTGTGTGTCTCCCACCCTTCAGCCATGGTCATCATTTTTATATTCTCCACTGCTCCTTCTTTCCCTTCCTCCCTCCATATAGGCCATGGAGCTTCTAGTGGAAAAGGCTTTGAGCAGTGCATCAGGGCCTCTGCGTCCAGGAGATGCCATGAGGCGAGTGCTGGAATGCGTAGCCACGGGAACGCTCCTAACAGGTCAGTCTGCAGCTGGGCTCAAGCCTCGTAGTCAGTCAGTCACCCCGTAATATAGATGTGGAACATCTGCCAGGCATTGAGGGGTCATAGAGAAGTATAGCAGGGTCTCACTTTTCAGATATTTTGGGGGAACAAACCATTCCACATAAAGTCATTTTCTATTTTTAAAAAAATTGTTTATAAGGGTGTGTAGTAATTTTTTCTGAAGTGTGGTCATTATTTCCCTCTACTCCTTAAATAAACCATACTGAACAGAGAGGCAGTGGGTATAGTGGGAAGAGCCTGGATTTGGAGTCAGAGGATCTGAGTTTGAATCTCAACTGTGCCACTTACCATAATGTGTATAAATTTGGGCAAAGTACTTCTCTCTGTGACTCTCAACTTCTGTAAAGTGAGGAGGTTAGATTTTTTATGTTCTTTCAGCTCTACATACCTTTACATTTTTCTTTGAAGAGTTAGTTGATACTACGAATTCAATATGCAGGGCTACGTCATGGAGACCTCTTGCCAGTTCTTCTTTATTCTACCTTTACAACACCTCTCTCTTGCATCCTCTTTTCTCTACACATCAGTCTCCATCCCAGTTAAGGCCCCATCATCACCTTTCACTTGGACTATTGCAGTAGTCTCCTCAGTGGTCTCCTTAAGCATCTCCCTTCTACAGATTCTGTCTCACATAGCTGCCAAAGTGATTTTTCCTAAAGCCTAAGTCTGATGATGCCACTCACCTTCCCTGTAAGCTCCCTTCACCACCTCATACCAAATTACCCTTTCCAGGCTTATTACATATAATCTTCTTCACAAACTCCATAATCTGGCCAAAGTGTCTATCTTATTGAAGGACAGATGAAATGTGACGTTTCATTTCCTGTTTGCTTGCCTTTGCCACATCTCTGGAACATACTCTCTTCTTACTTCCAAGTCTAGAATTCCTAGCTTCACTTAACACCAAAAGAGATTGTTTCATCAAATGAGACAATATTTGTGAAGTGCTTAACACATAGTAACCACTATGTAAATGCTTATTCCCTTTCCTTTATTCTCTTCATCTTTATTTTTGTATCCCTAGTGACTGGCACATATCAGGCACTTAATTACTTATTGATTAAGGTATATAGAGCTATTTACTACCTCTGTGCTAAATGGTCCTAGCCTGTAGGACTTTTTGAGTTTTTAATGTCTGCTTTTTAAAAAAAAATTGTTTTCAGTTTACTTTCTCACTATCAGGTTATCATCATTTGTCAAGAGTTGCTACTGTCAGTGGGCCCTGGGGCCGACAATACTCTCCTAGCCCTATGTAAAACTCAAACTTGGGAACACACACACACACACACACACACACACACACACACACACACACGTGCACAATCACCCTTCTAATTCCTTATTCTTGGTAGCTGTTGGCTAGGAACCCAGGCAACCAAGCTTGTTAGAATTGTATTAAAATAAGAGAGTTTAATCTTATTTGGTATCTTGAGTAAAGAATTGAAGGGATGTTATAAGAGTACTATGTGTTAGCTTTGTTTAATAGCTTCTGCATATTCTGCAAATATTTTGGCTCCTCAAATCAGCTTCTCGGTCCTTTTGTTTGTTTATTTACTTTACTTATGACCAAGATAGTTGAGTTTATCAGAAAGATGACTTTGAAATTCTGTAATATTTTGGTGGATTATTAATATCATCGTTTTGGGTATCATTTCCATAATCATAGATAGCCAATACCCCTCTGCACTTCATCCTGTGTAATTTTTGTCCATGTCATTCTATAAATCCTTCGTACTTTAAAAACACAAAAAGTCTTACAGGTTGGGACCATTCAACATCCAAATAAATAGTCATTTGTACCTCAGTCATTCAGTCAATAAGCAAGCCCATACCATTTCTGAGAGCTTCTAGCAATTACTTTTTGTCTGTCCTCCTTTTCAGTAATAAGTTGTACATGTCAGAACCTAGTGAAGCATTGTCTTTTCAGTAGCAACTGTGAATGGGTTAGGTAGAAACTTTAATACAGTAGACCAATACCTATATTTTAAAACAACAGCAACAACATAATTTCCCACAGTGTAAGCAATGAAAGCAAGCACCCTAGAATTAACACCAAACAATCCCGGTGACCTTAGGGAAAGTCAGTGTCAGTCTTTCTTGATCTCTTCTTTCCACCCTTGGCTGAAAGAACCTTTACAGACTAACCATTTGTATGGGAGTGGTGTTGAGAGCTATACTTGTTACTGATGTTTGCCGCAGTTCATTCTGTCTCCCAACTATTTCCTTTTCAGATGGGCCAGGACTTCAAGATCCATGTGAGAAAAAACAGATAGATGTGCTGGATGTCATGACAAGTCAAGAACGAGAGGATGTCACAGCCAGTGCCCAGGTAGGAAGAAGCAATGACTCAACATCTTTTCTTTGAGAGGCTTCCAACTTATACAGGGCTCAGGCCCTTATGATATAAATGGCTGTATCTGAGGTTTGATTTCTGGAATGGATTCAGCAGTTTACAGGTAATCTTTATTGGCATCTAATTTAAAATATATGCCCTTTATTTCTAGTGAATGTTATTTTTTTTTCCAGGGAAGAACTTGGTATAGGAGGATGCAGGTAATTAGCAGGATGTTTTACTACAGAGATCCATGGCCAGGAAATAAAATATTTAAGATATATTGCTTCCATCACTTAGAAAGTCAGCATGGCGTAGTAGAAGGAGAGTTTTAGAGTGAGGATTCAGGGGTTCAAATCCTGGCCCTGAATTTGCTGTGTGACCGTGGACAACTGACTGCCTCTTTCTAAGGCTGTTTTCTCTTCTGTGTAGTGAGGGTGGTAATAGTACTACGTATGTCAAAAGGTTGATACGAGGGCGGAATTATCTTCAACCTTGAATGTGAGCTTTTATTGGTATTTTATTATAACTACGTCATAGTTCTAGTCACAACCACATAGGAACTATCTAGTGTTTGTTAGGTGACCTATACCGAGAATGACAATTATGACAAAAAATCGATTCCCTCTCTTAATGTGTTTACCTATCCCTATTTCTCTCTTGATAAGGAATTAATTAATTAATTAAGGGAAGAGAATTAATGCTTTCAAAAAGCTACCTAGAAAGTCACCAGCATCAGCTACCATTTAATGAATAATAGTATCCTAACTGTTCTTTCTCACCAAAAAGCCTGTGCTCTAGCCAAGACATTGTTGTTCCAGGTGCTGGGCTCAGTGTCATATGTGAAAAGATGTGATCACCGGTACACGTGGGTCACACCATACGCTCTTGTTCTCTCCAGTGTATATCTATTCTTAGGGCAGCAGCTTTTGTAGTGCTTATGGCTGGGTGGTGTCATGGCAAAAAGACAACATCTCACTCATAAATATGCTAGTAGACCTTTTTAGAACACAGAAAATATAAATAGACAGGTGGCCATGGGAGGCTCCTATAAAAAGTGCCACCCCTCTTCCTCTCCAGCAGAGCCTAAAGGAGTCCTATATACTCCTCCAGAACAATAGTATTATTCTATTATTATTTCAACTAATTGTATGATACAGTTAGCTCTAATAGTACTTCTCTGAGTATTAGCCTTGCAGATAGACTAATCTGTAGGAGTATCTGTTTTTAGCGGCCTAGAAGCAAGGTTAGAAGTGAGGAGGGCTCACAAGAACAAGACAAAAGAAAATGTGATTTCTTATCTTCCTCTCAAAAAAGGGAAGATAAAGATCTGTCTTTTTGCCTCCACACTGGGAAATGTGTTTTCTGGGGCTGGTGATGTAGTTAGCAGTAGTCAGGACTGTGAATGTAAAGGCAGTCAGAGGGGGAATGTGGTGGAAAGAGCCTTGGCCTTGGAGTCAGAACATCTAGATTCCAGTCTCTGCAATGTAGTTATCTGTATGACCTTGGACAGAACGCTTAGCCTCTTTGATTCAGGGGCTTCATTCATAAAAAATGAGGGGGAAGGGAGGTTGGACTAGATTGAGTTTGAATCTAAGAGTCTTCCTAGCCTTTCTATTCTATGGATCTGCAAGTAACAACTTGAGTGGAGTCATTTAAGGTTTTGCTGGCTGAATAGAATCACGGTGGCCACTCAGAAAACGGTGTGCAAAGCATCCTAATGTTTATTTCTGTGTTTCTTCTTGTTTTAATCCCAGCACGCTTTACGGATGTTAGCTTTCAGACAAATCCACAAAGTACTAGGAATGGACCCTTTGCCACCACCTAAAAGCAGAGTTGGTTCACGCAACAAGAAACGACGAAGAGACTTCAGTGAGGCAGTGGAAGGAGAGAGTGAAAAGAAGAAAGAGAAAAAAGAGGATAAGGATGATGCCTAAGTACTATTATAGCTAAGATAATGTTCATATACAACTTTAATTTTTTTATATGTACATACACATGTATGCACATGTATTCTATAAATGTGTGTATGTATATATGAGTTGCTGTTTAGTCTATGACATCTGACAATTTTAGTGTTTCCACTTGAATAACGTGCTATAGATTTGGTTTTAAAATTGTGCTTAAATCATTTTAAAGATTGCATCACTCCAAGATTGCCTTTGGGCAATAGCCCCATTTCACTTTGTCCTTCTTTACCTTTCCCTAACTCCTGAGGAAACCCTTCCCATGGAAAGATAGGTAGAAGGATGAAAGCATATTTTTTAATTCCGGTATTTCTTTCAAGCTTTAAAGATGCATCCCAGCACATAGAGAGAAATGCCAGATATTGGATTTGAACCTTAAAATCATTTCCTTTGGCTGTTCCATCCTCAAGCTAGAATGAATGTAAATGTGCCCACCTTGGGGTCTGGACAGCAGGAAGATTAATTTGGAAGAATCAGGGAGATTAGTTTGCTCTCCCAAAAGAGCAAAAACAAAACAAAACAAAACAAACAAAAACTGATGGCAGATATAGAGCTTTGAGCCAAGAGTCATACAAGGCAAACAAGTCAGTGAAGCATTAACATTTACTTCACTAGCTTTTCATTAAATAAAGTCAACATAAAGGAAAGACACCTGAAAAAAAACCTCACCTGTTCCTGTTAACATGTTAAAATCTTCACAAGTTGTAATGGTTCCATTATTGGACTTTGTGGGTGAGAATTTTGGGGTTTCTCTTTTGAGAGTACTGAGTGTGTTCCATTAATGACAGTGAAGGTAGAGGTTGGTGCTGCTGTATGAACAGGCTTTGGTGATGGAGTGAGAGTATAGTCAGTACTCACTTTAAAAATACCTGTTATTTACTTGAGAACCACTTAACCACAGAAATTTTCCATATACCAATGAGTGCCTTCTAAAGAAAGGTGGCCGAGTCTCACATAGTGAACAGCTTATTTTTCATTTTAATTTAAGGTAAGTTTTTTCTTCTATTTTTTTTTTCTAGTTTCAGTCTCATTTTTAATATCATCCAGGTCTGAAGCTTAGGCTTTTTTGGTAATACCGCTCTAGAATGGAAAGGCCAGAGAATTCAGGATTTGGTTGGGCAGCTACCCAGGAAGGCCTTTGAGTGTTTGTATGTGACAAGTGTCCTTCTGGCACAGTGGAAAGTGGGAAGAATAGAGCAGATGCTAGTGATGAGGTGAGATGGAGGTAGCAAAGTCAGTGAACTAGGGAGGCCCATCGCCCCACCCTAATCAGTTTAACCTCTTTTTTTGTAGAGGGTTTCTCAATTGGTTGCCTTATGGCATATAACAAGAAAAAAAAGCATATTATATTTTGACAGATGCCGTGATCTATGGTCACTTGACACAATTTATTTTATTTCATTTTTTTATGTGTTAAAAGGAGAGCCAATAATGTGGCTTTAATATTTGAATGACTTTGTAGTGCTACCTGGAAATTTAAAAAAGGAGAAAAATAAAATGAAAATTATGCTTCCATTTTTTCCTATATGTTGTCTAGTCTTTTAATTGGAGACTTTTAGTACATAGAGAGAACATTCTACACAGACATTATAGATATGCTTTATGTAATATTGCTCATCATCGTTTTTCAGTAATATCATTAATACTTTCAGCATTTGTGCTGAGTCACATCTTCTCTCTCTGCACTCACTCCCTTGTTGACCTTATCTACTTCCAAGGGTTCAGTGATTACCTCTATGAAGTTGACTCATCCAGCCTTATTCTCTTTTTTGAATTATTTTCTCCTACTTCAACAACTATCTGCTGGATATTTCCACCTGGATGTCCCACCATCTCTTCAAACTCTAATGACAGGCCAGAGAACAGAGGAACAAAAGAATGGGACAGGTCACCAAGACAGGACACTGTGCATGTGGGGGGGTTGTGCCACATTCCACTAAACCTGAGGGAAAGAGTATAGCATCCAGCTGGGGCCAGTTCTGACCACCTAAAAGTTAGTCAGGACAGAGATTTGGGCCGGTGAACCAAAAATTGTCCAAGGTGGGAGGAAGCTGAGATGCATTGAGATCCAGTCCCCAAGGGAACTACCATCAGAGGGGAGGGAGTCAGGAAGTGAATGATAAAGAAAATGGGGGATGGGTGGGAGGGAAGACTGAAAGAACCAGAGAGTTTAGGAAAAAGAAAACTCAAATATCTTGAACATAAACAGATAAATCAACGGGAAAAACAGTCACAACAGAAGGAAGCATGATGTCAAGATCTAGTAAATGAGTTGCATATTTGAATAAATACTACAAAATAAAGGAAAATTATTCAACACTTGATGAAACAGAACTCTCTGGAATCTGAGAACATGAAACCACAACATGCTGTTTCTGAGTGGTTTAAAAGAAAAAATGAGAATTACAAGAGCAGAATTTATGTCCTGCACAGCAAAAATAATGGACAAAATAGTAAAACTTGAATCTGCAATAGCAAGCCTTGCCAAAGAAACAAAAAAGAAAAATAGATTGAGAATGCACATACAGAGGTGAAGGACAACCTAGAAGAGAAGAAGCAAAAAACAACAAAATTAAAGGAAACTATGCTTACTATGTAAGTAAAACATACTGATCTCAAAGGCAGGATACATAGAGACAACCTAGGGATCTTAGATCTCCCAGGACATAAGAAGAGAAAGCACCATAATGAAGGAAATAATAGAAAAGAATTGTCCAGAACTTCTGAACATATAAAATTTAATTCCAATTGAAAAAATTCACAGATAGCCTTTGGGAAAAAAAAATGAAAACAAAAATCCAAGGCTGCAAACTCCAAGTGGATAAATTTAACAATTCAATTCAGAAATAAGTTCTACAAGCTATCAGGAGAACATACTTCAAATACAAAGGAAAAGACATTTGAATAACACAAGACTATTCTGTCCCCACTAGAAAAAGGAGGAGGGAATGGAAAAATGTGTTCTGAAGAGCAATGGAACTCAGGATGCAGCCCAGGGTGACCTATCCTGCAAATCAGAGCTCAACCGTATGGGACAGGAGAGGCACATTCAATAATAGAGAAGAGTTCAAAATAATTTTAGAAAGAAAGAGGTTATTTGCTTCTTGAACACCCCAAATAACAGAAATGCAGGAAGAGTGAATAAAAGTAGGCAGCAACAGTGGCAGAGGGACAACAGAAAGATCACTAAGAGACTTTTTCCTAAATTTACGCAAGCAGAGGGGGTGAAGGTGGAAATCTGGTAGAGGTAACAGTAAAGAGGTGGACAAGGGGCATTATGGACAACCTGGTGACACCCTGCCTGCAGGTGAATGCTTCTTCTGTGGGACTACATTATAAATAGAGTACATGAAAGTGGGGAGGAGAGCCAGGGGATACAGAAGAGTGTGTCACATGCTGGGGTCAAATCAAGGGCTGGCAATAAGGGGAAAGTGGCCTCTGTGGTCTCAGAGAAGAGCCTATGGGGCAGTAGAGGAGGGTGGAGGAGAAGAAAATTTTAAAAAGGGAGAGAAGGAAGGAAAAAGGTGTTACTTTGGAGGTGGGAGGGGATTCCACTAATGAATGCTCCTTTGGGTGAAGACAGATGGCCTGTGAAGGGAGATGAGTACCTTACATGGGATGAGAGGGGAGTTTGGTACTTGAAAAGTCTACTTGTATTGGGGGAGAGGGGGAGTTGGAACCCCTGGGGGCAAGTGGCACCTTGCCATGGAAAAGCATGGATGTTGGGAAATTTCCAGGCAAATGTAGAAAAGTCAATAAGAGAGGGTATACAATCGGGGTGGGGCGGGGAGCCCTTCCATGAGACAGTGTCCTTGGTGACACCTGCAATATTTGGTATTGTTTTGAGAGTAAGGCATAATGGATAAGGGAAATCCATGGGGGATTTCCTACAAGGATTGCCCTACAAGGGAGTAAAAGCACCTAGAGGGAAGAGCCTAGAATAAATGTTTTGTGAACTTTGATTGCATGAAGAATACAGGGAAAAAAGAGAACAGATAATTTTAGGGGTCATGAATCAGAGAATAAGGGTCTGGAGTAAATAGAGGAGAAAGATAATGAAGAGAGTGAGAAATCCTTTTTGGAAAGAGGCACCAAAAAATGAGATGTAAAAACAATGAACAGGATTAGCTGAAGGAGGGGACAAATGAAGGGTAAATCTATTTGACTGAGAGGAAAAAAGAGGAAAGAAATATATAACTGTATTGAAGCAGGAGAGGAGAACTAATAAAACCTTAAAGGGAAAGGAGTAAAAAAAAAAAATGAGGAGACCAGAGGTATGGGGAAGAAACCCAGTAGGAAAAGGATCACTTTAAAAAAAAGATTAACTGAAGGAACACAATACTGTGTTTATGGCAGAAATGGGGAAAAACCAACTTAAAGCAATTTTAGAGACAGATGGAGAAAAATATAAACCTAATTCTTATAACTTAAAATGTGAATGGATTGAACAACCTAATAAAACAAAAAAGTTACAGTTTGGATAAAAGAACAAAACCCCACAATCTGTTGCTTACAAGAAACACATTTTAAAAACAAAGACATATACAAAATAAAACTGAGGAGTTAGAAAAAATTTACTATGTACCAAGTGAATTCAAAAAAGCAAGAATTATCATCGTGCTATCAAATTAAAAAAAATTTACATTAAAAAAGATGTAAGCAAGGAAACTATATTATGCTGAAAGGAACCATAGACTACAAACAAATATAAGTAATTAATTTATATGCTCCAAATGCCTTAGTATCTAAATTAATAAAGGGAACATCTGAACTTTAACAAGATATACATAGTGAGAAGGGATTTCCATATCCCTCTGTCAGTTTTTGATAAGTCTTACAAAGTAAAAGGGAGAATGAAGAACTGAAGAAATTGCTGGAGAAACTAAAGTTACAAGACTTATGGCATCTTTTAAATGGTATTGCAAAAGAACATGCATATTTTCTCAGCACCGCAAAAAACTTTTACAAAAATTGACCATGTAATAGGGCAGAGATATTTCAAACAAATGCAAAAAGGTTGAAGTAGTTAATGCATCCTTTTATTGCAATAAAGATAGAAAATGGTTCATGGGCCATAAACAAAAGGTACGGCTCTAAATGGAGACTTAACAACAAAATTTTAGATAATGAGTGGGTCAAAAAATAAATCATAGAAACAATAACTATGTAAAAGAAAATGATAATGATGAAACAACATGCCAACATTTCTGGGATGCAACTAAAGCAATCCTTAGAGGGAAAATTATATCTTTACAATCACACATTAACAAAATAGAAAAAAGAGAGGATCAATGAATTGAACATGTATTTTAAAAAATTAGAAATATCAACAAATAAAATAAGTACAAAAAGGAAATATTAGAATTAGGGGGAAAGAGATAAATTGGAAACAAATAATAGAATCAACTCCTGAAGCACACAAAAGACTTGTAAAAAGATTCAATTACAAAATGTTCCTTAAAGAAATAAGTAACCTGAATAGCTGGAGGAATATTCAGTGCTCGTGGCTAAGTCATGCCACTATAATAAAAATGATAATTCTACCAAAAGATTTTACACTTTTAATGTTATTATACCAATCATATTACTAAGATGATACTTAATAGAACTTGATAAAATAAAAAATTCATTTGGAGAAATAAAAGATCTAGAATAGCTAGGGAAGTGATGACAAGAAGTAAGGATGAAAAAGGAATAGCACTTCTAGACCTATATTATAAAGTGACAGTCATTAAAACCATTTGATACTGGTTAAAGAATAGAGAGGTAGATCAAAGGAACAGACTAGATAAGGGAGAGTCAGAAACAATAGAATTCAATAACCCAGTGTTTGATAAAGTAGAAAATATAAGTTACCTGGGGAAAAACTCCCTATTTGATAAAAACTGCTGGGAAAACTGGAAAGCAGTTAGGCTTAGAAATTAGGCTTAGACCATCACCTTACACCATATTCCACATACATTCTAAATGGATTGTTGTTGAGTTGTTTTGGTCGTATCTGCCTCCTCATGATCCCCATTTGGGGTTTTCTTGGTAAAGATACTGGAGTGGTTTTCCATTTCCTCCTTGGCTCAGATGAGGAGCTGAGACAAACAGGATTAAGTGACTTGCCCAGCATCACACAGCTAGTAAGTATCTGAATCCAGATTACTCAAGTCCTCCTGACTTCAAATCCAGTGCTGTATCTGCTGCACCACCTACCTTCCCCTTAAATGGATATATGGCCTTAAAATTAAAGATGGTATTATAAAAAAAAATAAGAGAAACAGATCATATGCCTCCCACAGTTATGATAGAATATGTATTCTTAAATCACAGAAGAGATAGAGGCAATTATAGAAGATAAAATAGATAATTTTGATCACTTGCAACTGAAAAGCTTCTGCATGTACAACATTATGCATCTAGGATAAGAAAAGAAGTGGGTGAATGGGGGGAAAAATCTTTGTATCAAATTTCTCTGTTGGAGTTTGGTATCACTGTTGGGTCTATATCCCAAAGACATCCAAAACAAGGGAAAAGGAA